AGTTGTTGGTGTGGAACATATCCAAGGTTTAGTGGATGATTCGAAGGAAAACATCAAGAAGCACCACGCAGAACTACTGACAAGCAAACGTGTAGTAATTGTGAAAGGTGATGGCCGTAAAGGCTATAGGGAAGAGTCACCCTATGATGCGATTCATGTTGGTGCTGCTGCGGCAACAATCCCAACCGAGGTTTGTAGTGCTTTGCTCATTATTTAAAGCATGGAAGAAAGCACCTCCAGATCCGCACACCCCTATCGTATTTGCGCTTTTTTAACTGCTTAATTTTCTTGATCCGTTATTTGCTTTTGCGGCGCAGCACAGCATTCTCGAGCTATTTTTAGTAACATTTCAATCAAACACCCCCTGTGGCTTACCTTTCGACTTTTTTAGGTAGCTTCTTTGCCTCTCCAACTCATTTTTGTACTGTCCGCCTGAATCCCCATTTTCTGCTCCGCCCTGGTGAACTGCACAGCTTTCCTGCGGTTGTTTTCACACTTGACGTTCTGTGTAGTCTTACTGCCAGCAGCTCCTTTCACGAACTGCGGCTCTGTTTCCCCACAGTGGTCAGTTTTACTGGTCCGATCTCGAATCCGAGATATATTTCTCCGCATTCCATGTCCTAGTTAAATTTAATGCAGATTTTGCATCCCTCGGCAGCGCAAAACTTCATGCTTGTGCCAGATTTGCCGTACGGCTGCAAGAAGGAGGAACAGCTGCGGGGAGTCGTGTGCTTGCTGCGCTTTTTGCTCCGTGTTTGCAAAAATGCGTCTTTTCTTGCACTGTGGTGTATTTTGCAGTTGATCGATCAGCTTGCTAAAGGCGGGAGGATGCTGATCCCAGTTGGCGCAGAGGGTCAAACGCAGCGATTCGTGCAGGTGGACAAAGATGCAGATGGAAAAGTGACCAGGAAAGATTTGATGGGAGTAATTTATGTGCCTCTGACCGACGAAGAGCGCCAGCTGCATAACTGAGTGACCGGTCTCTAAGCGTTATTTTTCCGTAGTTTTGAAATTAGAGGACCTGACTTGGTGTCAATGTCGGGACTTTTGGTCGACTGGCTTCAGTAACACCTCACTGAACATCAAAAAAAAAAAGAAATGCACAAATGGAGAAATTATGGAATTTTTTAGTTCGAGTAGTTTTGGTTTTTTTTGCATCTTTCATTATCCTGGGCTTCCGTTGAAAAACACTGAAGTACAAGAGCCAGGTGCCTATAGCCCCTCCCCCTTTCTTTCCTTGAGGCCTCACAGTTCGCGCTGCCTCAGAATTATAAGTCCGACTCGTGCCACCCATAACTCTTGACCGCAAGTATCAAACTGTTGAAGCACTGACATTTCGCTGATGTAACGACTACAGGTCCGAATGCTTCCGTATCCTATAGCTATCTTCATGCCCTCACTGCAGCTGCTACTTTTTAGCATATTTGTCAGGAATATATCGCTAGTCCTGTTGGTGAAGTGTACTTTAAAAGAGATCGGGGACCAATGGGGCCTGTGGCATATTTG